CATTTTTGAACCAAAAGGAAAATTTTTAGTGCCCAAAACTTGAATTTCATTGATTTCAACACAAAGTTCTCCAACTCTTGATGCAAATCAAAGTCGCTTTTTATTACATTCAAAGGAAAACTTGAAAGTTAGATCAAAGCAATAAACTTGGGGCATAGATAAATCAGGTGTTTTGGCGTCCCCTACTTGAGCTTGTGGAAGCTTCAGATGCTAAAGTAGGCCCGGTTTGAACCTCATCTTCAAGCTAAGCTATGCATTCACCAGATAAGATGCAACTGAAATTGGGAGCAGGAGCTAGAAGTTCTCTTGTCCTCCATGAAGTGGGATATCGAGCTAGTTGTGAACCTCGGATTGGAAATGAAGTTGGGTACTCTACCCCCTCTTCTGGGCAAGTCTGGTCTTGTCCAAATAGATGCTTGAACTTAAATGGAAAATAGAAGACATAATGTATGAAGCCAACCAACTGAATGCCTGGTTGCCGAGACATGATGTAGCTCATCTCGGGCAGATCAAACCAGGGACAACGCCAGGCAATGTCAGCAGCAGACCTGTTGCATATCCATTGGCACCACCACCCTTCATTTGGAAAATCAACGAGCCGTTGACGAAAGAAATAGCCTCGTGCTGAATATGCAGGGCAAGAGTCCACTACTTTCAACCTGTCTATGAGCCCTATCTGGGGAGGGATGAAAAATAAGAGTGATAAAAGAATAAAGAAGTGTATGTAAAGAGAAAAAGTGAGAAAGGGATTTGAGAGAAAAACAGAGCCTGAGTGTCGAGTGATGTGAGAAACACATGTGAGATAGGGTGGGAAACATTACCTGCAAAAGTAGTGGACTTCCTGCCGATTTGTTTGTCTCTCGCCGGTGGAAGGCATCCAAGCCCATCAAAGTTTCGTCCAATGCTAAGCCAATGCAACTTTTTCCCTCTTTCAAGCCTTGAGCTACTTCAATCAAGCGAATGCTAGACCCTCCTAAAACAAGGGCAAGAATGAAATGAGCCAACATACACAAACAAAGGACATGCTGTCGAAAACTCTGCCAAAGACGGTCGTCGCGGTTACCAGTGTCAGAAAATTGATGAATCAAACTGGGGATATCTAGCTCTCTGTTGTGAAGCGAAGATTGAGCTTCACGTAAAGTGAGCCTACACATCCTTCCTAAAGCTTGGATATGACCAAAACAAGACTGGGATAGGATTTCCTTGTCACGCCAGGATTCCATCAAAACTTGGAATTCTTCAATTGTAAGGCACATCTCTTGCCCTCCAAAGCTGAACACATGTGTAACCGGGTTCCAACACCTAGCCGCGGCGTGAAGGAACGGAAAACACAGTGGGGTACGACTTAGCGGGAATAGTGCATTTATCCTGAAACCCCAGAAATTTGCTTTTCTGAGCCATCTAAAGCTACAATCCAATTTGAGAGTTTTTCAGCAAAGAATGGCTCCATTTGTGGCAAAAACAGAACTGGAATGAAGAAATTAAGAAGTCCTGGCTTTTATAGAAGATAAGGCATTGAGTGGAAGACAAGTCGCAACAATCTGGAGGTCCCTCATACTGGTGGCCGACTGACCAGTAGTGATGGCTGACAGCCACCTTTAGTAGCCGACAGGCCACCACTGGTGGCCGACAGCCTCTGTTCATGGTTAACAACATTCTTGTGGTCTTCCTGTGTGTGGAGAGTGCTGAGAACCTGTGTTTTGTTCTGCTCTTGGTGCATTCTGCTGTCATGTTTTAGTAGTTTTGTGGAGTCACTTGTAAGTTGCTTCAATTTGTTTATTGAGTTGTTTCAATTTGTTTATCAAGTTGTTGTGTTGCTCATCGAGTTGTATTTGTCTTGTTTATGTTTATTGAGTTGTGTTGTTTATTGAGTTGTTGTTAGTTATTTATTGAGTTGTCTTATTTTGTTTTTTTTAAGTGTTGGTCGGTTCATTACCTAATTAAGAAGGTGCCAATATAATGTGCAATTTTCAATCAAGATCAATCTCATTTTTTTATGCTATGTGATGCTGTGCGGTGCTCAGGATGCAAAATACATCTCTTTTTCATACAAAAAGTGGTTTGCTTTCCTGTCATGGTCACTTTTTACAAAAGAGTACAAGTTTTTAAAGAAAATAAAACCTATCTAAAGCTGTACAAAGTGCTAACACTACTAACAAAAAGAAACTAAGCAAAAATACAGAAAATCAACGCCAGCTGTTTTAGTCTCAAGAGGTCCTCTTCGTCCTCTTCCTGGCCAGAGCTGTCTCCGTCAATGCCGCTGCCTGCATCTCCCTCTGAATTAGAATCAGAATCGTCGCTGTCATCTGCCTCGGAGCCTGACGCAGTATCACCTCCACTAGCAAAACCTGAGCTAGCGCCATCATCTTCGCTCTGAGATGACTCCATGTGCTGACTCGTTGCCTCCTCAGCCTTTGCTGGTCTCGGCCTCATCATCACTTAGTATGGGGTCGAAAGGGCCACTCTCATCTCTGCCTCGGATACGTGTCGGAGCTTGTCTCCCTCTCCTCCCTACTGTTGGAGGGGGCACTGATGGTCCTATTGCAGCACCCGCTGGTGCGTTCGGTATGGCTGGGATCTGAAAAGGGCAATTGTCAATATATCAGTTTCAGTGTATGTATCAGATGCAAGGATGATATACAATATAAGTGTAGGCAGAAGTCAAATGCAGTGTTTGAAAGTAGTGTGCGAATGTAGAGTTTGAGTGCAGTGTATCAGATCAGTGCAATGTGGAACAGATTACAGTTGGAATGCTAATGTATCAGGGGAAAGTTTAATGGCATGAAACGTAAATTGAAGAAAATTAACGAAATTCTGTAGAGGCTGAGCAGATTCATGCTCCTCTACACCATCCCCATTAGGGAAGCCGATAGCTCGAGAGCGTTCCCTGTGTACTCTATAGATGCCTGTAAGTTTGTTGGGGTGATCAGTATTCTATGAGCATAACTGAAATGAATTTAACATGGAAAATGTAAAGTGTGGTATATACTGGAGTCGGGCCTCGAACCTCGACAAGCTTGTGCCCAGCTGGTGCAGGCTCAATAGAGATCTGGTGAGCCTCCCCAGTATGCCGCCAACAAGTAAGTGTAATGGGAAGCTCTGGCCAACTAGTCCTGTGCCTCGCCCAAGAAGCCCTTCTGCTATAGGCCCTAGCTGCCCTGGTCACTCTGGGCCCCATCCTCGCAACAGGAGCTCTTGCTCCCTCGCCTCTACGAACACCGGTCAGAGGTGGCATAAGGTGTGTCTGAATGAAGACTGCATAGGCACCCTCAACTTGAAAGTACTCCGCCTCCAAGCCCATCATGAACTGGATAACTCTGTCAATAGATAGGTTGTCTGCTGATCTCATGGACTCAGGTAGCGTCATCGGTATGAATTGAGCAGGCATGCCTAGTGACTGGCGTACGACTCTATCACCAAGGTATGAGGCTCGGTAGACCGGACCCTCAAGCAGAATGCGATAACGAGACATGCCCTAAGCTGCATTATACCTGTAACGCCCTCAAAATAAACCCATTATATTTATATCATTAACATGCAATATTAAAAGAAAACAATTCATTATCTCATTCATCAGAGTATTACTAAATGAAAACATTACATGTAATATCAAATTAAATGCCCTATGGGCTTACATCTTTCCAAGCCAACACTTGGACACAAAAATATGAGTTCTAACTCGAATACAAATAAAGCCCTAGGCTTGAATGTTTATCAAATAAAAACAAATAACTAAAGATAGTCTTCAAAATCCAAATCCTTCCAAGCTAAGTCCTTGGAGGTAGCTTATCACCTGAACCTGAAAATGATGTTCCCATATAGGGTGAGCGCTCGAGCGAAGAACGAACTAACTCGCTCGAGCGAAGAAAAGCTCGCTCGAGCCAAAAACCTCTGCTCTCAGGTCTAACTACAAAACGCAATCCTCGCTCGATCGAAGAAACCCTGGCTCGAGCGACGGACCAAAACAAAGAGCTCGCTCGAGCGAAGAACTTCTCACTCGAGCGAAGGGTCAAAATTCTGGGCAGCAACCCTTTGCTCCCAAGCTCAACCAACCTGCTACAAACCTGCCCATTGCATCCCCCAACTCAGAAATAGGAAATTAAAGGACGGTAACAATCTTAATACAATGGCAGGAGCTACGGAACCTAAGTCCGGATACAATAATCATATGGGAAAAGACCGGGGTCGCTATAATACCGGCCTCCAAGTCCTCTCGGTATCATGGCCCATGGTTGCCATGAGACCTACAAATGGAAGTTGTATAGATTGTCAGTTGCTGTCAGTGGCTACAATGTGAATCAGAACAGTATGAAAGCAAACGAAGACCGTGTTTTGGGTTATGTCGTGAGTAGCTATGGTGTCGAAATAATGCCTGAAGAAATAAAAGGGCTCATGAGTCCCACGGCGAAATGGGCCATCGTACACCTGTGAATAGAGGACCGTCAATGGAACCTCCACCTTTGGCTCCAGGGTAAGAGTCAGAAAGTATGCATATACCCATAGCTACAGGGAGACAAAGGAGAAAGTACATGCGTTCAATAGATGTAAAGTAAGAAATGCTTAACAAAAAATGCAAAGTGTAAAGAGGGAACTGAGATGTGTAACTCCCAGGCTCGCCAATAGCCTCCGACTAAGAGTCCAATCCCACGGGAAGTCAAGCTCATATAGCTGTACAGGGTGGCGAGGCCAGCCCTGCCCCAATCGTAGAAGCTCACTCGGGGAAGGACCACCAATGCACTTGGCAAACTGGGTGGTACCGAAGAGGAACATCAGAAAACCTGGAGCATAGTGCTCTATCTCCTCTACTATCTATGGCATGGTGCCCCGGAACCTCTCCTCGAACCAACTGTATCTGACCTGGGCTGTCCTGAATAAAGGCGGACATGCCCCTAGAAGCTCAATCCAAGCAGCCTCCTACTCCCCCATATCAGGATCAAGGGGAATCAGATCACCCTTTACAACTAGGCCTGTGATCATGACGAAGTCGTACGGGGTCATCTTCATCTCTCCAGTGATGGAAAGGTGGAGAGAGTTGGGGTGTCCCACCATCTCTCCACTAGAGCTCCAAGAAGTGGACATCTCGCTATGACTCGTGGCAATCCAGAGCAAAATAGGCCGAAGCCTGCATCCTCTATAATAGCTCGTACTCCGGTAGGGAGCTTGTCGTACCAATCTCTGGCCGTTATGGCCCCATAGCCCCTATATGGGCGAGTGTCACCCTGTGGCAAATGCAGGTGAATCAGTGTAAATACAGCGCAAGCGTATGATTAGTGCAAGAAATGCGAGTAAAGAATATCAGATGTGTAAGTGCATAGAGTTTGTATCTCAATGGGAACGATTGAAATATGGGAGTCTAGCTCCCTTAGTAAAAGGTCCGCTTGTGCATTAGCAAAATTAGTGAAGTGCCTAACGCCACTAGCAGACAGAATGTGTGTCTGGGGATGATATCTTGCCGTGTCAAAAGGCCTCACTCCCAGCAGTAAGGGCTCCGGCTATGCATTAGAATTGAACTCTGCCTCTGGAGGGGCCCCGTCATGTGGAAAGTTATTTGCCATCTGGAATATAGATGAAAAGTGAAGAAAATGGGGGAAATAGGTGGAAAAGGCCAAACATCAACTCAAGTCAAACCCTAGGAGAGAGAAAATGGGAGAAAAAGTCAAAGCCTGGGAAAAGGTGCCAAACCCAAGAGAAACTTGAGGGGAACAAGCCTCAAGTGGTGAAAATGAAGAAAAAGGCACCAAAATCAGTTTTCATTCGGTTCAAAATGAAGGAAATCAAGAGGATTTAGCCAATCAACTTCGCATGGGGCATTGGAAAATGCCTGTAAAGCTTAGATTTGGAAAGAAGGAAGGTGTAGAGAGGGGGAGGAAAGAATTTTGGGCATGGGGTGTGGAGGAAATGAGCCCCCATGCCCTATGCTTAAACACCCGTGTACAAAAAGACCAAAATGGCCAAACCTGCCATTGATGGCCAGTCGGCCACCACTGGTGGCCGACAACCCTTATGGGTGGCCGATAGGTGGCCGACACCTCTCCAAGGTGGCCGGCAAGCTTCCAAAACTGTCCGTGTGTGTTTTACAGCTGTTTTGTGTTCTCGATTCTCGAGAAAGTGCAAGAAAGTTCACTTTTAAGCTCAAATTGTCTCTGCGGAAGCTCTAAACCATGTCTTCGGTGCATGATGATTCATCACTATTCAACAAGAATGAGGTGTATCTTTTTTAACTTGTTACAGCTCTTTCGAGAGGTAAATCGGAAGTTGTTGGTCAATCTATTATTGCATAGAAGTGTGCATTCCTCTTTTGTTGCATAAAATATGTTTTTCTCTGTCTTTGCATAGAACATGCATTTTTTATTGTTGCATTATGATGTTGCATAGAACATACATTTGCTAATCTTTCATAGAATATGCATATTGTGCTATTGATAGCACATGCAGGGCAGTTTGTACTCTTACGTCGAAGATGCATTCCGACGTTGCATAGGACGTGCTCCGATTTTCACTGCATAGAACATGCTCCCAATTATCATGCATAGAACATGTTGTTACGACATTCGCGTAGAACATGCTTTGCCCATCTTGCATGGAACATGAACCCATACTATGTTATGCTTGTTAAGTTTCTTTCTTATGCAGGCACGATATTGTATGTACAGTTCATTCGGAGGAGCTCCATGTGAGATCATTCCTATCCTTCGAAATCCCTGTTTTGGTTAGAAGCATTTGGACGAGTTCTGGTGTTTATACCACTCCCTGTTTTGGTTAGAAGCATTTGGACGAGTTCTGGTGTTTATACCACTCCCTATTTTGGTTAGAAGCATTTGGACGTGTTCCGATGTTTACCACCATACCCTATTTTGGTCAAAAGCATTTGGATGTGTTCCGATGTTTACCACCACTACTTTGTTTTGGTTACAAATGTTTGGATGCGCTCCAGCGTTTATCACTGCTCCCTTTGGTTAAGAACAGTTGGGTACGTCGCGGTGTTCACACCAACCCCTCTCTCCTTCCGCGTGCAACGCGTTAGGACCTTGTTTGACACCTCGGGTGCACCCGACGGTTGTGTTATTCTTTGCCTTTCCTGCGTGATGCGTAGTTAAGTTTGCATAATTTTCTTACATCCTTTTTGCATGAAATGTGGTTTGGTTCGTTTTTACTTACTTCTTTTGTGTATAAGATTGTTGTAGCATTTCTTTGCATAATATTTGCATCTAGATGTTTCATTACAGCCTCATTGCATGATTATAAGTTATGTTTTTGCATCATGCATGTCATTTGCATCTTGCCCCAGAACTACTCTAGTTTGATTCCTTGCAAAGCGATATGTAGGCAGCCTACAGGCGCAACCGTTCTTTGTTTTGCTTATTTTTTTGTCTAATCCTTTCGCCTCGTCAAAAATAGGCCGTCTTTGGGCTTTAACATTCATTCCCACCATTTCATGACTTCGAATTCTGTCAAAGAGGGGCAACTGTAGACACCCCATTTTTGACCGTCCTCAAGAATTAGACGCCATCGTTTTTGCACTCGACGATTGTGCATGTTTGTGTTCGTTTTTGAGCTCCCGAAGTCCTCAGTGGAATTCCCTGTCTTTGAGCCTTTGAACCTTGTTCTTTCTCTACCTTGTTTTGGACCAAAACTTGGTGTCTGGACCTCTTGGTAGCCCCAAGACTGTTGGCCATGCATGTGGCCAGTCGGCTACCAGTCTCTTTTTTCAGATATTTCTGGATATTTGTTGCCAGCTATGCCAGCTGTTACTCACTGAACTGCATCTTCATACACATGTATGGTAGGATGTATACAAGCTCAAGACTTGATTTTCTATATATAGGGGGTGTCCTTCCCCATTTTGGAGGGTTAGACATTTTAGACCAAAAAAATCTCTCTCTAGAATTTTCTCTCTCTCTTGTTGTTGTGGGCTTTGTAGTTAGTTTTCTCTACACTTTTGCACATCAACCCTTAACCAAACTTGACCACCATTGAGCTGAGGTCCCTTGGAGTCCTGTTTGAGCTTTGGAAGGAGGTTTGAGCTTCAATTTATGGCTGAATTGTGCTGTGCTTCAAAGGTATAGAACTTACCTTGCTTAGACTTGTTTTGTAGACCTTCTTTGCCATCTTTTCAAACTATTTTGAGGCTGATTTTGGCATGCAAAAGGTTCTGTTTTTGAGCCATAAAAGTGGTGGTTCGAACTCTTTTGACCTAGAGGGTTGTCCACTCTTCTTTGCTTATTAGCTTCTCAAGCTTTTGTGTCATCTTTTTGTCAATTTCATACCAACTTTTTTGGGCCTTTCAGCCATTGAAATTCAAAGGATTTTCAGTGACAAAAACCTTCTTTTCAAGTCCAAAATTGGAGGGGTTAGCCTCCCCTCCTTGTTGTCTTGTTTACATGCCTAGTTGCTTTACATGTTAGCATGTTTTTCTAGCCTAACTTAGCTTTAACCCAGCATATTTTTGCCTCTATTTTGACCCGCTTTAGCTCTGTTTTGGGTTGTTTGAACTTTGTTTTGTATGGTTGTGGTGCAATTTTCTTCAATAGCTTACTGTTTCTAGGCTTTGAGCATCATTTGTGCATCTTGGTTGCATGTTTTAATGATTTTTCACGCCTAATTCCAACACTAAAATCTCTGCAACCTCCCTCCATTCTTCACTCTTTTATTTTCTTTGAAAGTGGTTTTAAACCCCTTGCTTGCTTAAGTGTGAAATTGAGACATTCATGCTTAATGGTTTAATCCCTTCGAGGGTTCATTATCAATGGCATAAGGTCTCTTTTATGCCCAAAGCACTTCTGGTTTAAGCCTCTTTTCCATTAGAGGACACTCACTTTCGGACTTAACCGTTAAAAAACAGATCAGTAATTAAAATGAGTAAACAAAACATGACAAGTAAAAGAGGCAAGATAAGCATCTTTCATGTTCCACTGCATGTCTTCGAATTGGATGTTAATTCGAATAGAAGGAAAATGGGACATTTCATACTCAAAAGTGATGAAATGTGTCACTTTCCCTGGTCACCACCACCCTTGATCATGCATGATAGGGTGGTGGTCTTTTGAACTCATTGAACTTGTAGAAACTTGGTTCTTTGGCCATCATGCATGGAAAATGCTTGGTTGACTGTTTGAGGGCCAAGAGTTACACTCCTTTGAGCTTGTTTGATGATAAGGAGGATAATAGTACACACAAACTTGTGAAAATACACTGCCTTGCTCTGTCTGCTCTCTGTTGCAGTAAAAGAAGGAGTTCTTGTCACCAGTGGCCGACCAGCCAGCAACAGTAGCCGACCGGCCACCATTGGTAGCTGACATGCCCCTTGTTGGGCACCAATGAAAATTGCACAGTGTGGTGGTAAGTTGAAGTGGGGATGTTCTGGAAGTAGGCAACCCTTTTCTGTGTTCAAGTATGTGAAAACAGAGGCTCACAACAGCAAAACGGTGGCTTTTTCGAGCGGAGGAACCAAGGATGCATCCCTCGTCCTCGAGGCCATTTAGTTGCTTTTCTTATTTAATTAGTTGTAGCTAATTCATACAAGTGTTGTAACTATTTAGTTAATTAATTCGTTTTGTAATTAGGTAGCTTAATTCCATTTGTAATAATTAGGTAACTAGAATAGTTAGTTAGTTTCAAGTTTTGTAATAGTTAGCTTAATTAGCGTAGCTAGTTAGCTTATTCATTCAGACCCTCTTTTACGAGGGCGTAATGTTATAATAAGTGTGCGTACGTGTGTGTATGTCTTCCAACCCTACGTCTTTCTCCGTTTTATTTAATCGCTTTTGATGGTTAGATTCGGGACATTTTTAATTAGCATGCCTTATGCTCGCATGTTTGCATCCATTCATTTGTCTTGCATGCACCAAGGCTCGGCGCATCATTCAGACTGCATCGTCATTTCAAATACTTATTTGAATACGTGTTTAACCGCATGTTATCAAATCGATTAATAAGCCATATTAGTAGCCGAGCCTATTAATTGCATATTGCATGTGTTGCATTAGGCATCTTAACATAGTCAGGATCATACATTTTTCTAACTAGTTTCTGTTTTGGCTTGGAGTACTCGGTGAGTTTTACGCTTTAACATACTTGCATGAGTGTGATTTCTATAATGCCATGTTTCGCATGCTTGCCATGAGGCTATGTGCTTAAATGCTAAACTGCATGAATGCCTGTGGATGAAGGCTTGTTGTTTGAATTGGAACGATTCAACAAATGTACGTTTTAAGCTCAC